GCTCCAACAAGACTCACCCTCGCCGCATCTCCCTCTCCTTCGTTGCGTGTAAGCGGCGGTTCCACGATTCCTCTGCCGTCTCTGTTTGATGTATCTTCCGGAGGAGTAGCATAGACGACGGTTCTCTCTTCTCGTTTCTTAGATCCCAAAGTGATAGATTTGCGGCGGTTGGAGGAGAAGTTGAAGGTGGAGAGGAAGAGGTTGAAGAACCCGGGGAGGCAGCCGGTTGATACGGCGGTGGAGTTTGGACTTCTCCGGGGAGGATTGTGGTTTTCCCGCCATGAAGATGAAGGAGAAAGCAAGTTCTCTAGTTTACTCTTCTTCATAGTCCTACTCTGTATTATGTGCTTCTTGAGCTCTTTCTTTTCTCACACTATCTAAAACCTTAAATTCCCATTTACTATATATTGTTTTTTATTCACTCCAACGGCAATTAAAACATTATACCTTTTTGTATGTTTAGGTTTTGCTTTTCTTTATTTTCTTTGATCTTTTCTTTTCACTTTTATTTTATGATTTTTACTTTAGGGTTGGTCCATTGGCACATGTCAAATACTGGAATACTACTGCTTTTACAATTGCGATATATAATTAGCTATAGTCATCATAATGTCATATGCCGTTTTCACTTATTTTTTGTGGTTTAGTAGGATTTTTGTTTTTGTTACCGTCTACTAAGTTTTCATTTTCTAACAACTCTGAAATAAACATAATCAGACTTTGGAAATGTGACACATTGATATCATATAGTAGCCCATATTTTTACCAAATAAAAAAATATAGTACTCTATAAGCTTCTAAATTCAGATTTATTACTTCCATTTTAGTTTTACAATATTTCTGCCATTTAAAACTATTGAATAAAAATTAAAATCATTTTGGAACAGTGAAAGTAATTTCTTGGATTAAGATGAATCAGATTTAAATTCAGATGATAATATTATCCATAGCAAAAATTTACAACCCTAATCAAGAATAGGCATTAGGAGTTTAGCACAATGCTCAATGAGAAACAAAAAGACATGATTATGAATTTATGAGTGTTCTTTAAGATTCATGTCCTTGTGCATGCTGGACAGACAACACTTTTAAAGCCTTTTTAGTCCATTATATTGGAATAAGAAATTTTTATACGACTAATTTATTAATTATATGGCGCACTAGTTTGAGTTCTGACTTGAGACCACATATCACCTCAAATGACAGTAGGGATAAACCTTTTATCCATTAAATTTGATTCCATTCTATCTAAAAAATTTAGATATTCGTAAATTATCAAAATTTAATATCCTTTAAAAGCGAAAAAATAACAAATACTAAAACAATTAGAGCTGGATATCTCCTACGAATTTTATATATATATATATATATAATAATTAAATATAAATTTTTATATGTATATTTTTATATAATATTTATTTTAACACATCATTTTATTAAATTTTTATAAAATCACTTATAAAGGTATGAAATTAAGAAAAAATATCGAATCTTTATAAAAATTACATTTATCTATTTTTGTGTTTTATCAAAAGTTGATTAATTTTAAAAATTTAGGGAAAAGAGTTTCACTTAATTTTATTTTATATTATGTAATAGAAAATTTTGATTCTCGTTCAATATGGTAATACCGAACGGTACCGAACGGTACCGAACGGTACCGAACCGAACGGAACCGAACCAAAATAGACAATATGGTTTGGATTTGGTATATACCATATAAACCGAATGGATATGATTTTATAAAAACCGTAGGATTTGGATATGGTTAGGTTTATAACCGATTAAAACGAATAAACCAAACAAAACCGATCAAAGACAAATATATATAAATATATACATTATATAACCATTTATTTTCTTGGAATAGTCTTTTTTTTTTACTTTTTTTATTCCTTGTGAAGATACATCTTAATGATTTTATTTTATTTTCTTCAGTTATTATCTAATTTTGATTTGATTTTGCATGTTGTAAGAAATTGTGAAATTAGATTGTACCATGTAATTTATTTGGAAGAACAAAGAGAAAATAAGAAAAGTTGTACAAAACTGAATCGTTGGTCGTTTTGTTTGTTGTTAATTTCAGATTTTTATATTTATGAACACTTAGGATTATTTTAATAAATGATAGTTTTGACAATATGTTTTTTAAATCCATATAATATGAAACCAAATCAAATAATAATGTTATTTGGTATAAAACCGAATAAACCGAAAACCGGTAGTATAAATACCGAACCAAACCAAATTTAATATGGTTCCAATATGGTAGCTAATTTTTATAAACCGAATAATCGAAAACCAAAAAAATCGAACCGAAACCGGACCGAACACCAGATTGAACATGCCTAGTTTTGAATTTTTTTTTTTGTATTTTTTAGATTTATTTGAGAATAAAATAATTCTGACATATATTGTGATCTCCAAAATAGAATTTTCTATTATAGAAATTGAAAATTAAGACATAAATTATAATTAAATATAAATTAAACAATGCTGATGTGTCAAAATTTCTCCATAATTTTAAAGTAATTTGTTTATTTATCATCTTTTGGTCATTTCATATATAATAAAAACGAATTTATATTAATAATTTTATATTTTGAGAAAATAAGATAACTCTTATGTATTAGATTGTTATCTTGCAAATATATTTTGTATAACAAAATTTAAGTGAATTTGCTGATTTGTAACTTCTGAATGATTAAGGAAATTTTGCTTATTTTCATATTTTTAATAATTTCATATATAATTTATTATATAATAAAAACGTATTGCTATTAATATTGCTATCTTTTTAGAAAATAATATACTTCTTATGTATTATATTGTTATTTTGAAAATATATTTTTCTATTATAGAAACAAAAAATTAAGATATAAAAATTATAACTAATATAAATGAAGCAAAACATTTGTATAAATATATTTTTAAAAATATTCTGATATGTAAAGGTTTTGTTTTATAATTAATTTTGAAAACATAAATCATAGCTTATTATGTCATTTTAAACTAATACAACATAAACTAATAACTATTCTTAAGAAATCATGCATGCATATGCGGGTAAAACATTTGATTAAAAAAGACTACACAATGTTAACTGCAAAAAGGCTTCTCCAGAAATACTAAACACAAAAGTATAATTATAGTTTCTATATCCTTTTTGGTCAGTCATATATCTATCTATCTATATATATATATATATATATATAAATGAGAACATACTCCTTTCTCATGAAACCACCTCAGTAGTATCTAAAATTGTGACACATGTCATTTTTTAGTTGCAAAATCAAAGTTTAACTAAACTCTTATATTTCTTTGTTTCGTGGACCACTATTCTAAATTCATGTCTGACCCATCTTTCTCAGAGTTTCACACATTTACCAACATAAAACATGAAGCGGTAGCCGGATAAATTAGAGATAAATAAAATATGATGACTCTGTGATAAATAAAATATGAGCTCCATGTTTTTTGTTGTGTCATGCTTCATCATATGTTACCAAAAGATCAGTAGTTATGTGTATGTTGATAACACCATATTTAATCCCATTTTATAAAATATAATATAATTTGAGTTTGAAAATATTTTTTTCGCATTCAATATCTACATTACAATACTCATTTTCAACACTCAAATATGTTACATTTTTTAATATTAAAATATTTTATTTTTAAAAAATATATCTTTGGCATTCATTATTTAGACTGTAATAGTCTTTTTAAACTTTCAATATATTACAATTTTGGAATAAGGAAATATCTTTTTATACATTGCAAAATTTTCAAGAATAGTATATTCTATATTTCGAGGAAAACAATTAAAAAATGTATCATACGCAATGAAAATTAAGTGTAGAAAGAGAATAATTAATAAATATAAAGAAAAAGAATATAATATAACAAAATAGAAAACAATCAGAAGTTAAAAGGTAACTTTTATCTGTTTGAGACGGATGTGGCCAATTAAGATAGGAGTGCTTAACGAAGTAGTTTGATAAGAGATGATCAGATTTATCATTCCACTCAACAAACTGCTTAAAAAGTGAAAAAATGATAATATTATATGGATATTTATCAACATTTTAAGTTTTCAACAAAAAAATTCAAAGATATGCTGGAAAAAGCATACTAAAAATATAACAAGCATTATTTCAAAAATATCACTATTAATTAAAATAGATAATATGTAAAAATATATAGTTGTTATTTGTAGAATTTGAAATATATGTATAATTGTAATATTTTGTATTATAATTCTAAGCTTTTCTTGTAATAAAAAACATCAAATCTTACATATTGAAAATAGAGATTATTTTCAATTTAGAGTAAACTAATCATTTTAAAATATTCGATAAATGGATAATATTGTATAATTTTTTCAATTAACCCTAGTAGTAACTATATATCTTAAAAATATAAATACATGGTTTTGGTCAGAGAATAAGAAAACCTTGTTTTGATTGAAAAAGACTATACAGTATAATGTTAACAGCAAAAAGGCTTCTCCAGAAATACTTGCATTGTGATTTAGACTGTACATACAAACTGATTTGTCCAAATCAACTTAATCTATACTGACAAAGTTTCCAATAAAGAATGAAGAGTGCATTGCCCCAGCAAACACCTACTCAATTCTAAATGGCCCGATGTTACAGCATTTTCCAGCAGCATATATGTAGTCCTGGCCCGGCGGCTTCTATAAGGAAGGCAAAAAAAAAAACTTAACCTAAAATACTACACAAATAAGAGCTCGAAAGAAAGAGACTAGAGAAGCTGATTACATAGGAGTAACCAAACAAAACAGTTAGATGGATTATAGATCTTCGCCATCTTCCCATATTTTGTAGTCGCTAGTTAAGCAGTTCTGCACACTTCCTCTTGGCAGCCAAAGAAGAAAGTAAACGCACAGGATCAACATTTAGTAAGGCATGCGTTGTGCTACTCCGACTAACCGCTACTGTTGTCATTGTCTCCACTTAACACTTATAAGGCGTAACCGTTTTTGACTTTGTGATTCTCCAGCTGCACACATTCATATATATTGATATAACCATAAAATTTCTCAGATTAATAAGTTTAGTTCATTTTGACCGAAGAACACAGTAAGGAAATGGAAACCAAGACGCAATCATAGCAGAAAATTAGATAAAAGACGTAGATTATGTAAGAAAAGCCCATGCACGCAACATCTACAAATAATAAGTCGTTTTTAAAAATCTAAGACGATGAATAGACTGCGGTGATATTTAGTTCAATAGTCACAACATGTTCATGATACATCCAAGTGATACAGATTTACTGCAGAACCAAATAAAGGAAATCCAAATAAAAAAAAACAATAAAAAAATTTCACTACCAAGACATCACTTTACTTTTAGTTATGTGGTACATTATATTGGGTGGTTAACCACTTAATGTGACTTAGATTATTCGAATTTAGTTTTAAAAAAATTGAAACGCTTACATTGATGGGTTAAACCCAAGCTCATGCAGTATTGCAACACATAAGTGAATCGCTAAAGCAAGATAACAAGATAGCAAGCTATTTTATTGGACTTTCACACTAAAAAGTGTAGATAATATTGTGTGACCCGATGAGCTACACCTAAGATAATAAACTGATAAGAACATATACTATATAACTGATCTTAGCCAAAAGACCAAGAAATGTATGAGCTGAAAGTTAGACTCGGCTTCTGTATATAGTGCTAACTCATGACTATTGCTTCTCTATCTCACGGATGTGGTACTTTTAGAACAAAGTTCGTTGTTCATCAATAAGAAACGCAACCAATACGACATCGGTTGAATCTCCTATGTTTTCTTCTTTGGTTTAGCCTGAAGTCAAGGGTTGGTTCGGTTCCATTCCTTGGTTTGGCTATCTGGTTCTGGTCACAGATTTTAAAGAAGATATCAAATGCTCTTTCTTGCTTTCAAATAAGAAACATACCAGAGATAAGTAAGAAGAAGATGAAGCTGACAACGAAGATGGAAAGGGGTTTCATTGCCATTGCCACTTTTGCTATGTGTCTGAATTGGGGTTTGTTTTGCTATTTATATAAATCTTTAGGACCAAACCGTTTTGCTTAGTGATACAGAACCGAACCATACAAAAACTAAACTAGTCGGATTTGAGACGAAACATTTTTGTAAATTTCTTTTAATTTGCGACATGATCAAACCTAAGATTTAGTAGGTTATAAACATTTTAATCTTAATAACCTTTTTGACAATTGAAGATTTTTTTTGACAATTTCAGAACTATACTATATATGTATAATAGCTTTTAAATTTTTATGAGTCAAAGAACATCCGGCTGGAAAAATTTAGGAGTCAATGAACAGCCAACTGTGTCTAGAACTGGTCCTAATTTCTAAACATTGAATTAACCGTAAATTAACCAAACGGCAGGCGGACACAGTCACATACCTACCACCCGTGGATGCTAGTTGAAAGATTTTTAAACAAGTGTAAATATATGTTTTTCATGTGAGCTTCAGATACACATATCTTCAAACCATGAGAGCCTCAGTAACTTCCGGCTTTTTATTTCACATAGTCGTCATTACATTATTACTTGGATCACGTCCACATATATTATTACACAAACCATGATGAAACATGCAGGATTCAAATACCACCACTAAGAATCTTATCATTAGGTATGTCGCTGCAGTAGTCGCATAAGCATTTAACATCACCTTCACCTCCCCAAATGCATGTTCCCCCTTGTGCGCACTTGTTCTTACGGCAATTTGTATAACAAAACGACGGAAATATCTCAGGCGCACAGAAGCTAAAACCCACATCGCCTCCGTATTCTTTCAGGCACTCGTCATCCTGCGCTTCTATCTCCGGAGCTTCTGCTCATTGTATATATAGACAACATTTGAGAAAATAAGAAATCACATATAGTATATAATAAAACGTGCTGCAGTAAATCACCGAGATAAATACTCTCTGGATCATATGAATCACAAAGTTTAACAAATATGTGAAATTAATACGGAGTTAGTTAATTTACCAAAGATAATCAAAACAAGGATAAAAAGTATGGCTAAGAAAGGAACTGATTTTGTTGCCATGGCCATCTTCTTTGCTCTATCCCTCTTACTCTTTACTTTCTCTCTTTAAGGATGTGTAAAATGAACTAGGCTTTTATATTAACTAGATCCTTTCTCCGCGCTACGCGCGGATTATATATTTTAAATTAGTGTAATTATATAATGTTTTAATTAGTTTTGTTTTATATTTAATGTTGTTTTTCCATGTCTTATTTTCCCAACATTAATTTAATAAATTATAATTGTCGCAAATATTTTTAGATGTTAATTTTGTAAACTTTCGTAAATATTATTCAATAATTTTATTGATGTTTATTTTTATAGTGTTACATAATTTAGAACTAATAAGCAGGAAAATATCTACAGCATTAAAGTAGATTATGATAGTTTGGATTTTAATTTTATTGTTGGGTTTTTCAATTTAATTTTAGTCTTTTATACTCATGTATGGTTTTAATAAAGCTTCAAAATGGTTTGATTTGTATTATTTTGTTCTTATTAAGGTGCAAATAACATCAATAAAGGTGTTATAGTAAATTTTTGTTTCAAATACTAAAATATCAAAATATGACTTACTTCTAAACATTTGTATAATATTTGTTTAGAAAATGATCAAATAGTTTGTATAGGATCTGTTTTGATGAAGTTGTTTGTTTTTATGAAATACAATATTGGAACTAAATTTAATCATATTTTTCATATGTAAATTATTGCATTAAATGGGAGAGATTTGTGTTTACTACCAGTTAACTTAATATTTAATTTTTTGAGCTTAGTTTATTAATATAAAATGGGAGATTTAATTTTAATTTTTTTTCTACTGTTATATGGAATTTTGTTCGATCAAAATTTCGGTTTCTTTTTTTTTTCACCTACAAAGATTAATCTAAAACCTTTTTAGATGAACCATTCTATTTAAAACAAATCTTCAATTTTCTTAGATGAAACATTTAAGATCATTGACTAAGCTAATATAAATATTCTTTTAAATTGGTTTTACAACATATTAACACTCTATCTATTTTGATTCTTCCTTTAAAAGTCGATTACATAGATGATAGTAATTTAACCTTTAACTACAAAACTCAGTTTTAATAAACGGTTTGTACTTCAGCGTAAATTTATAGGAAACATATAAAAGAAGAGAACAAAATTCGGTGTTCCAGAAAAAAAGGGTGAATAAAAGTCGTATGACTCCAAACAAAGCAAACAACATTATGGTCGTTGAACAAACTACATTGCTTCACTTCAACATTCCAAGTACGCAACAAATTGCAATATAGAAAAAGGCTATACAAAGTTCTGAAAATATATCATTTCTCTGTTCTTCCCTTTGTGTAAACACCAAGATGTCTCCTACTTGAGCAAGTACAGCGTAATTTCTTGCTGCTTGAAGTAACAGCCATCCTCTTCGTCCACCAGCACAAGATTCAGATAATACTTAACGCTGACTTTGCTGTTTATGTTCGTAAGCGTTGGTGTCAGATCGTATGGTGTCAAGAACAGTCTTACATGTATGGATTCTCCTACGCAATGTCTCAGTATTTACTCGGTAGCTAAAGGGTAAGAGTGAGTTTTGAAAACATACGATGAATGTTTGGATTACCACTAACGGGAGCACCATCCATTAACTCAAATTTGGCAAGTGTTTCTGTCTTGACATGGGTATTAGCTCCTGTTCCAGTTGATTCTCCCGTCTGATCTCAAGGTCCATATTCTTTATCTTGATTCTGACCAGAAGGAACTCAAGGAAGTATATCTTCCCAAGGATAACATCTTTCAGGTGGTACCTACATCCAGAGCATAGGAAGTTAGCTACTGCTTTTAATTTCCCTTATCATTCCAGCTTGTAATAATGGAAATGAGTTTGCCTTACTTGCTTTTATTGTACTCAAACTCCATATGCAGGCAGTCCTTAATTCCAACTTCCATCTGTACAATGGGTAAATGATCCAATTTAATTAAGCATATCTAATGCTAATAAAAATATGGGAAGCAGAAGAATAAGAGTAGCAATCATGTAATTTCAAACAGGCTATGAGAGAAAATGGATTCAGTGTCAAAAGTAAGAGAGAGTAGAGATGGCAGAGTTTGGACTCACCTTGATGCTGTTGTTGATTGGAGGTAGTGGCGAATAGTTACAGACCTGTCTCAGATTCATAAGAAAAAGGAAGAAGCTGTAAGTATATTAAATACTAATGTGTCACAAAGACGCAAGAGAAAAATGAAGAAATATACCACAAATTCACGTGTAACTAATACTCCACGATGCTTCCACCATAGCCACGTGTAACTGTTACTTTGAGGACATATCTGAAGATAACAGCGAGTAAAGTTATGTACTACAATATGCAACATTAGAAACTTTAAATGTTCCAGAAAGAGTATGATATTACCTTAGTCGCACATTGACGCCATTGTATGTCTCATGTGGCATCTCAACAGTTGAAAATTCAAAAGGGTATGCCTTTTTTTCATATATCTCTCCAGGTACGTCAACCTCCCGCACTGGTAATCAGAAATAGTAGGATAGATCAGCAAGTTAAACTAAGAGTCAGTTACTAATAACTAAGAGATTACTGAGAAAAAGAACAGAACCATATCATAAATAGAAACCTGAGTTTTGACTCACCCAAGGAAGTGAAGTTGCAGAAGTTTCCTCTGTCAAAGTACATTTCTGTCCAAAACACACAAATATCATTAGTGCATATAAAGGAGACATCTGGAAAAAACATAGAAAAACTAACACAAGAGACAGACATAGCACACCTATTTGACCAAGAAGTTCAACTTTAACACCATTGTGCTCCACCTTTTTCCCTGATATAAGGAACAACCTGAATACAAATCTCTTGCTGGCTACAAATGACAACAAAATCAAGTTACCTTGCCAGCAATAGTTTCTTGACTCTGGAAAAGTGGGTTCATAACCGTCTGTCCATTATCTTTCTTAACATGAATCTTAGTACAACAGAGATCATCAGACAACCTGTAACCTAAGTCCGGGAACAGGGATAAAAATATATTATTGGCTGCTTATATATATTGAATAGGAGAAGATGGATGTGTGTACCCTGTTTACGATTCTTCCCATCAGTAAAGGTAATAGAAACATTACATGCCGGCTTGAAAGCTCCAAGAGGATAGTTCTGTGACGAAAAGTGTTAAAACTTCATTACAATATTACACAAGCAGCGCAAATAAAAGGGGAGAAATTTGAAGGAAAGCGAGGACTAACCATGATCAGAAGATTCGATTTTGAACACAGTTAACCTGTTCAATAACATAAGAGTCAGAATCAGCAGCATCTCAAGCTTGTCAACAAAAAGGTTTTTTCTTTTTACGGTAGATTTTGTTAAAATTTGAATAAAGCGATGACAGAAATAAACCCTAATCTCAATTCATACAATAGTAATCAAAGAAAGAGACCATATACAAACGACTTAATATAAGCTTCTAGCAAAGCAGTGCAGCACGAAGCAGGAACTGGAGAAGAAGGCAATGGCCTCAGAACATGCTGCAGATACTGGAATCGTCGGAACCTGATTGTTTGATTTCGGAGGATTGATTGCAGAGAAAATGGAGTTCTGTGTCGATATATGTCTCTACGTTAGAGAAACGGAACCGGCTAAGAGAACGAAGTAAGACAGTCATAGATATTTTCAACCATTTGGGCTTACTGGGCCATAATAAAATTAAAGAAAACGGACCCTGAAAATTAAAGCCCAATAGCCAAAAATCAGTGCTGACATGGCGTAACGATATAATCCCGTTGGTTGAATATTTTTAAGGACGTGGATAGTCCCATAGGGTTTGGTATTCAACTTTTAATAGTGTTAGATTAAGGGTGGGCATGGATTAAATATTCAAGTTTTTGGAGGTATTCATCATCTGATTCGTTTTGTCAGCAATTATCCTATTTAATTTGATTTGTAGCCACCCACATATTCATGTCATGAATATCCATAAAATTTTGAATTTTTAACCGCATATCCAATTTGATTCGTACAAATAATATAAAAAAATGAAAAAAAATTCAAATTAATATGAAAGTAACAATATTTTTATTACAAATATAAAGAAATTATCTTCTTGTAAAATTTTTAAAAACTAATCTAATAACTTTAAGAAATAAAAATATTGTAAAATTTAGATAAAATATAATATTTATATAATTTATATATAATTCATTAAATATATGTATATATGTTCATATAACAAATCATATTGGATATTCGTTTCTAAAAATATTAGTATTTATACTTTTTTTTTATTTCTTACGGATATTACATATTAATATTTACTCTGCTTCGTAGAATTATGGATGATATTTTGGTTCGGATCGAAACAAATAATAAACTACATCAAATTTTATGGATATTTTATCCAACTCTAATATTATTATTATTTTTGTTCGAATCAAAGTGAATAACGAATCAAATGAAAATTTACGGATATTTTACCAAACCCAAATATTATTTATCTTTTTCGTTGGGGCAAATAAGTTATCATTAAAGTCGTTTAGCCATCATCTATCTTACGTAATTTTCATTGTTATAATTTTGTTTTCACTTAAGACGTGACAATAATAGATTTGTTTTTAATTTCAACTTTTGTATTTTCAACTCATTTTAGTATTTTATATTTGTCAAGTTACATATATATTAATTTGATTTCCATATTTTGTATTTTTATAGCATCTTAAAAGGAGTCATTTAGATGGCATCATTCTGAACTTTAACATATATAAATCATACTATATTATCTTAATCTAAAAAGTAGGTTTATCTACCATAAAAACGTGACAAAAGTTGACTTGTCATTGCAGAGAATATTGAACTGCCCGGACTAACTCAAATAATTCCGCCTCCAACACTTCGGTGGACGAAGATAACAAACAACAATTCGGCCGCCTCCAAGACCTATTAACATTACACCACTGAATCCCTAACTTTCCTCATGAATTTATCTTGAAATGGTTTTATTTAAATAAGATCTTATTTAGACAATTCATAATGTTTTAAAATGTTGGTTTCTATTACAAATCATCATGAAAAAATTACGCAAAGGATTTTTTTTTTTTTTTTGTAGCTGAATATATTAAAAGGCCCGAAGGCTAAGCAATCACGACCGGAAGTATTCACAACGGTAAGACGTTAACAATCAGAACTATACTTGACGGTTAGATGAACAACCAACAAATGAGTACTATAGAACATGAGATATAAATGTTAATGGGAGAGGCTTGTTGAAATTAAAGAAACATGTCGATAAACTTCACGTATTCCCTAAACTATTTGCTCAAAAGAGCTTGAAATTGTCAGAATTAACGTTGATAAACTCAAACATAAAAGTTTGGGAGAGGGCAGAAATGTCGATCAAAAAGCTAGCTTTAGCCAAATAACCCATTAGATGGACGAGATCAGCTTTAACATTGACAATGTTGATCTGGGAGACTAGGTGAATCCCAAGTGATCCAGAGAGTAAATTGATCAAATGGACAGGATGGGGACACGGTTGATGTTGTTTTCATCTCCGGTTCCACATGTGCATGTTATTGGTCTTCTTAAGATGAAGTTTATGATAATGTCTATATCCGAGAACAAAGCTGACACATAAGTAGAAGGCTTGGCGAATTTAAACAGTTTTTCTTTTTTTTATGTGAACCATTTACAAGAGAGAATATAAAGTATTGTTGTATTCAAAATTTTACAAATTCAAGTTTTCTAGTCTAGTTCAACCTTTAAATTTGACACTCCAGAAAAGGATTTGCAGTTGCTTATAATAAAACAACTCAGAATTTTTTAAAGAAACTTAACAGCATTGCTCCAAGTCAAAATCTACGGTATGTACGACAAAACAAAGCTGGTTTCCTCTCTCTTTTTATATAAGCAAACCGACACAGAAGTGTAAAAAGAGTTCTGAGATCAGAAAGGAGTTAAGCTTGTTCGCCTGAGCTGCTGCTTTGGTTCGGGAGGTGGTGCACTTGGGAGGATCTTCTCTACCTTATGCAAAGTATAAAAGAGTAAAATAATGTCATGTTTGTGTTATGTTGTGTCAAATGAGCCAAACGACTCTTACAAGAAGCAAATAACACAATAAAGACATGACCTTTCAGAGGTTGTGTCTAACCCTATTTATCATTTCGCTTCTTCATGGTTTCATTCCTAATCATCTATTGTCTACTATGCTTGTCTTCAAATTCCATAGTCCACACCTCGAATAAAATTTGGAAGTCCTGAGATATCATGATGCAATATGACTGACAAAATTTGGAATAAAGAATGAAGAGTACTGCCCTGCCCCAGCAATCACCTACTCAATTCTAAATGACCCGATGTTACAGCATTCTCCACAATAGAGTTCAGCCCGGCTCTGGAGCTTCTATGAGGAAGGCAAAAAACAAAGCCTATACTACCCAAATAAGACCTTGAAAGAAAGAAACTAGAGAAGCTGATTACAAAGTAATAAGCAAATGGGAAAGGCCAAGAAAATCTGAATGAAGAGGAGAAAACAAAACAACTATATGAATTATATATATTTCCATATTTTGTAATGTCGCTAGTCAATCTGTTATGCATACTACTCTTTTGGCAGACACTGAAGATATTAGAACACACAAGATCAACATTTAATCATGCATGCGCTGTGATACTAGGACTAACTACTATGTCATCGTCTCCAGCTGCACACATATATATTGATATAACAGTAAACATTTTCAGATTTATGAGAGCAACCCCAATGGGGGAGGGGGGTTTTAATTTCGGGGTTCTCAAAATATAGACTGAACTTTTGTTTTGGGTTTCCTGTAAAGTTAAGAACTTCATAATTAAATATTAATATTAATATTAATATATATATATATATATATGTATTTTAAGAACTCCGGAGCTAGAACTTCTCATTGAAGATGCTCTGATGTTTTGTTTTACCCAAGAGCTGTAAGAAAATGGAAAACCGAGACGCAATTGTGGCAAACGATTAGCATAAGACGTAGATTATGTAAACCGCGCCAATGCACTACATCATTAAACATCTACAAATAGTAATTCGTTTTTTACTGTGATAATATTTAGTCCAATAGTAAGTGATCTTTTTCTTTTTTTTTTGACTAAATAGTAAGTGATCTTTTTATCTCAAAAGAAAACAGATTTACTGCAGTACCAAAAATCCAAATCAAAGAAACGCTGTTTTAATTTCTCTACCTAGACATCGCTTTACTGTCAGACTATCTAATAATGTGGCACATTGAACCTTACTTTAATGTGACATATTGGGCCTTCTGAATGGATTATTCGAATTTAGTTTAAGAAAAATTTGGAACTCTTAAATTGGCGTGCAGTAGTGCAACGCAAAGCATAAACGACTCACAAATGGCCTTCACCTAAAAGAATATAGTTAATATTGTATGTCTGAATGATCCATATATCATATTGATAAGAACATATACTACATTTGATCTTAGCCAAAAGGCAAAGGTATGAACAGGTGAATGTTTTTACTCGGCTTCTTTTATTAGTGCAAGCATGTACCAATGTGGGACTTTAGAAATAACATCCATAACTAGAATTTCACTCGCGTTCCCATAAAGATGTGGGATTTAATTTGTGTTTAGCGTAAACTCATTCTGATGGTTTCATAAAAGAATATCATGTATATTTATATGTTTTGTAATTTACATATAAAGTAGAATATATTATTTTATAATATAGATGTTTGATAATAATTTTTTTATTTGTACATAATATTATATTAAAAAATTTATAACTTGATATAATTTGATGTAATTGTACTATTCATATATTAACCTGTTGTTTTCTGTTAATTTATTTTAAAATGAAACAACATACTAAAATTTTTAATTTTTGCAATTAGTTTTCTATGAATTTAATTAATTTTATGACTTTTTTTTGAAAATTGATCTCTTGGAATTTTATATTTGGCTAACTTAAATAAAAGAATAATATATTTAAAAATTGTTTTATATAATATATATTATTTTTTTTATTTTTTTTAATTTTTACCACAAAGAAATAACAACCATTGTAATTAATTAATTTAAATTGATTTTATATGTAGCGCTAGAATTTGTAAATAAACTAAAATACTTAATAAGCTATCCATGTTTTCAAACAATTTTCATTTGCTTTGTTATCCATGATTCCAAATAGTATCAAAAAATATTTTAGTTTTAATAATATAGATAATAGGGTAGAAGATCTATTTACTCATGAGAACTATCATATAGCATCAGATGCCCACCGAACTATGACCTCATGCTAGATCTCCATGAATTAAAAATTGCAAACTTATTTCTCCCCAAATCAATACTTCAAAACTTAATTACCCACATACGATGGTTTTAATTTGTTTTAATTGGTTTATTCTTAACCAAAATCTTAAAATCAAGTAAACCAAACTAAAATCCAATTTTTGTATAATTTTTATCAGTTTTCATTTGTGATGTATTTTTTTTTGTTTTCTAATGAACAAAACAAAGTCTTCTTCTGTTGTAAAATAAATCTATTAAATCTCCACATGAATCACTGTAAACATTTTTATGTAAAATTTTTAATGAGTTTATTTACAACAAAAGAAGATTCTCTTTTATTTATTAGAAAAAATATATCACCAATGGAAATTGATAAAAAAAAAAATATAGAAAAATTGAATTTTGGTTTAGTTTAACTGATTTTAAGATGGTTGGTTAATAATAAACCAATTAATTAAAACCATTGTATGAGGTTAATTAAGTTTTGAAGTATTGATTTGGAAAGAATTAGATTTGCAATTTTCAATTCATGGAGATCTAGCATGAGGTCATAGTTTGGTGGAAATCAGAAACGTGCAACCAATATGACGTCGCTTGAATGTCTACTGTTTTCTTCTTGGTTAGGGTTGGTTCGGTTCCTTTCGTTCTGGTTACAGATTTTTAAGACCATCTCAAATGCTGTCTAGCTTCTAACTTCGTGTGTTCTATTCTATGCGAATCAAATCAATGCTATTAGACCTCACCAATTTTCAATGATTGAATAATTTTTCATGAATACAAGGTTATACAGACAAGACTCGAGTACTGTTTGCTGATGATTGTCTTGTACCTAACGATTCAGAAATCCTGAGACCTGAGTTTAAAGTCTTCACAGTTCACAACCTTCATGTACTGACTGAGCCAGGTTTTAGGTAGTGTTATACAATAATACAAAGGTCTGAGCTAAACACAAGTAATGTAGCCAAGAGTTATTAATTCACTAGAACAGTCCAAGGGCGAGTCTAGTCTACCAATAGCTAAGCATGGCGACTATGCTACTCATCATGTTGAGTAATGGAATGGACGCTCTGCAGAAGATAAGCACCTTTGTCTCTGAAACTCTTTGGCAATAACTTACTTCCATAGTTAGGATGTTGGTCTTCTTAAGATGAAGTTTATTGTAATGTCTTATATCTGAGGAACAAAGCTGACCCATAAGTAAGAAGGCTTGGCAAATTCAAACGGTTTTCCTTATTTTTTTTAATTGTAAGCAATTTACATACATAATATAAAGTACTACAAATTAAAGTTCACTTACTCTATTCAACCTCTAAATTTGACACTCAAAGAAAAAGATTGATGCTATTACTAAAACAACTTGGAATGTTTTCAAGAAACTTAACAGCATTGCCCAAGTCAAGAAAATCTACGGAATGTACAAAGAAACAAAGCTATTTTGAGATCAGAAAGGAGCTGAGCTTGTACGCCTGAGCTGCTGCTTGGGATCAGGCGGTGGTGCGCTTGGGAGGATCTTCTCTACCTCCTGCAAAGTAAAAAAGAGTAAAATAATAATGTTATGTGTTATATTGTGTCTAATGTACGTTAGGTGTAACCTTTCAGAGGTTGTGTCTAACCCTGTTTATCATTTCTCTTAGCATTCCTTATCATCTATTGTCTACTATGCTTGTCCCCATTTCCATATCATCTACCATTTTCAATCACAATCAATGCATGTATAACCAAAAGGGCCGAGGCTGCAAAACATTACCTTTTGTCTCCTGAGTCTTTCGTTTTCTTCTTCTAACCGTGAAACTTTGATCTCTAGCTCATGAGTGTAAGCCTGCTCATCAACACACTCAGTGTTACACACCAAGAAAAAACAAGGGATAGCTTGACTAGACTAATAACAACACCACATTTACAATTACAGAGAGTTGCAGTCATCTGTTTCCTACCACGAGAACGAGCAGCATACTCTCTGTTTTTTTTTATCATTTTCTTCTGCTTCCTCTCCACAACTTCTCCTGAACCCACCCTTTTTTTTCCTGGAGTTTGTGTATCTGACAAACCACCCATCAACGAAGACTGAGACACCATTGCTTGCATGTCTACAACAGGATATGGAATTGACGGAAGCTGATGATACTGAACCCATGGGACAGCCTGAGTTATATTTTGCCCTAAACCACCACCAGGAATTGTCTCAGTCACAACAACTGCTTTCAACAACAAGTCCTCAAGCGTCATTTCACCAAGAGTAGGCTTCTTGTGAGCACTACGTACTCCCTCCATTCTTGTTCTGCTGAATGTCTTTCCAGACTTCTTGCTGAGGTCACGTGGCAAAGTCAAAATCCCCTAACGAGAGAGACCCTCATTGAGGGCAATGGATGGTGGGTGATTAGCTTCAACAGAGCAGACACTCTTGAGAAGCTCGGCAAGATTCATGGTTCCAAGAGATTTACCAGAAGTACCCAAATGGTATAGAGTGAGCCTTGTCTATTCAAGGACTGAGATTTAGGGTCTTCAACAATAACCCTCTGAGAATCTCATAAAGACGTCTGAGACACCATTGCAAAAGACAACCCAACAGACAACCCTGAGCTCACAAAATAAAATTAAAAAAACCCTAATCGTAGCACCAACCCATAAACATTCAATTCAATAAATGGCTAAACATGCAGCAGAGAAACAATGAAGTCACTGGGTTGTAGCAATGTGAAAGGGTCTTGGGAGTTGCATGCTGATAAGACTCTAAGATGTAAAAGATTATCTTATTGCTTATCATACGAACCATAACAATACCAAGACGAGAAGGCTAAGAACCCTAACGCCAAGGTCCTTCAAATCCAGAGAGAAACCTCTCTGAACTTGCCTCAAATGCAGAGACACTCCTCTGATTTGCCTAAAGATCCCCCAAATACAAGATCCTCCAACCGCAAAGGTAAAGAGTTCTATTTATACTCCCCATTTTCAGTAACAGCAAAGCCTCTCTATGAATCAGCAACTTCACTTCCTTGCCAACAAAGCAACCATCTGCCACGTCAGCTCTAGTAGTCGGTATCTATCACATGCATGCAGCATCGGGGACTATCGAATGTAGATACTTAACATGGGAATCACAAGAGAAGGTTTTTCTAGCGAGGAAGAGAAATAACAAAAAGAAAACAACAATCTTTAGAAAAGGGTAAGCGGAATTTGAGTTTGAAAAGTATACAAGAGGAGATAAACGATACTATGATAAGTAGGGAGAAGGAGAAAGAGAGATTTACAAACCAAACCTAATCGATTTACACTCTTGTAGTGACATGAAGTTCAAGTGAGGTTATCCAAGAGTTTAAGACACATTTGAGCAGTTGTTTCCATATGAAAGATCTGGGTAAACTGAAGTATTTTCTTGGATTGGAAGTTGCACGAAACCCGGAGGGTATATATTTATCACATAGGAAGTATGCTCTGGATATTATTGCTGATACGGGTTTACTTGGTGGGAAGCCGATAGATTTTCCTATGGAGCCAAATCATCAGTTAGGAAGATCGACTTCACCATTATTAGTGATCCAGAGAGATATAGACGATTAGTTGGGAGACTGATTTACTTAGCTACCGCAAGGCCGGATCTTGCTTACTCAGTACATATCTTGTCTCAGTTCATGCAGAAGCCAAGAGAAGAACATTGGACAGCCGCAGTGAGGGTTGTTCGTTACTTGAAGGGGTGTCCCGGAATGGGAATTATCTTGAAAGCTGAGTGTAATTTTCATCTTACAGCTTGGTGTGATTCAGATTGGGCTTGATGTCCAATTACTAGGAGATCTTTGAATGGATGGTTGGTACAATTGGGAAACTCTCTTGTCTCATGGAAGTCGAAGAAACATGATGTGGTGTCATGTTCATCAGCTGAAGCTGAATATCGATCTATGGTAGCTGCATTAAAAGAACTAAAATGGATTAAGAGTTTGATGTTTACAATGGGTTTTGAGCATTCTGGAGCAATGGATTTGTATTGTGACAGTCAATCGGCGCTTCATATTGCAGCTAATCCTGTGTTTCACAAACGTACGAAACATGTGGAGTTGGACTGTCATTTTATCAGAGATGACATACAAGCATGGATCATTCGAACGAAGTATGTATCTACAACGGTACAATTGGCAGATATATTTACCAAAGCACTAGGTGGTCTTCCTTTCCAAGCTCTACTGTCCAAGTTGGGCATTCGGGATCTTCATGCTCCAACTTGAGGAAGGGTATTAGGAAATATACATTTTAATGTAAATTATATTATTTCTTTATTTTTAGATGTGCATAATTTAGGGCTTTCATATATATGCTTGTAAAGAATGTTGACAGTCTTTTGAGAAAAATAAGAGAATTTCTTCTCCAAATCTTTTAGTTGTGTTGTGTTGTGTTGTGTGAGAGACTCTTCTTATTGTTCTTTTGTTTCACGCAGGAAGGAGAAGACAATCTGATACTGTGGCGAATGCCTCCTGAGGAATTAATTTTCAATGCGTCTCTTTTTTTCTTTTTTGATAATTGTGATAAGTGATTAACTTTAATGAAGGTGGATATCGAGTATATTCCCTTCTAATTGAGCTTGCAATGTTAAAGAAGACAGCTCAAACGTTTAGACTTCTGAAAATAGATTTTGAAGTACATACACATTGCCTCAGCTGTGCTGACTGGCGCTGAGAACAAGCGCAGTTTCTTACAATTTCAATCACTGGACTCAAACCAAGATTGGGATACTAACAATCTAAAAATACAAAGAAACAGTTTTGCCAACAAACAAAATGTTGCACCTATCCTCTCATCGTAGTAGTTTAGCTGGCCACTCTTTGCAATGGATCGATTTAAATAACTCACCTTGATATTAATCCAAAAAACAATGCTTATACAAACCAACACAGTACAAAAAAGAAAAAAGACTGTAAAGAGTCATCATCATCATCTAAACATTCTTGAGCTTCTTCATCTTAGAAGGTGGCCAACGACCCTTCTTCCTCAAAATACGCTTACGAACCAGACGTTTCCTGCGTAGCCTAATCTTCTTAGCCAGCTTCATCTTCATCCTCTGTTCTAGCAGTAGCTTCTCTTTAGCTTCTTTTGATTCCAACGGTAGTTTGTCCACTGAAACAACAGTCTTAGGTGGTTCCTCATAGCTCTCGGGCTCAGCTCCGTCTATTCCAGAAGCAGCTGCCTTGACAATTGTTGCTCTTCCGTAGCTAATTCTCAAGTTGTAAGCACTGACTCTGTTCTTTGACTCGACGGTGGTGGGTTTAAGGCTGAGAACTGGGAACCCATTTGAAAGAAACCAAAAAAGATCAGAGCTTTCACACCAAGTACAAAGCCCAAGAAACATTAAATCTAAAAAGTGTTCGATGGAATGACTCAATGAAAATCTAGTCCCATCGCTTCAGTTTGAAAAAAGAAGCTTTTTTTTTTTTTTTTTTTTTGATTCAGTAACTACGAAACTGAA